CAGGGTGTCTTTAACTGAGAGCTGCATCATCCATAGGGAGCTCCCTCGGCCACAGTCACTGATCCCCCGTGGGGATGCTTGTGTCAGCCGTCAGACAGTGCTCAGCCCCTGGATCCACAGCAAACAGACATACCTCTGCTGAAACAACTGCTAATTGTTCCCAATTAGGGCCAGGTCTTGAATACTCATCAGTGCATGGCACCAGCCCTAATGCATTTCACAGGATGGCGAGGAATGGTGGCAGTGGAGCGGGGGAAGGTATCCTGCCGCTGGTGCTTGACCTGCCAAAGCAGGGATTTGTATTTATGCTGCTTTCAGGGAAAAAGGAAAACGTGCTCTGTGCTCCTCCGGGCTTTCATGGCAGCTTTCTGAGAGGTTGAAGCAGGGATCTAAGTGTCCTGAGGGATCCCAGCACCCCTCAACAGCAGAGCAAGTGCCAGCCCGGGGGGCCCCAGCCCAGCCAGTCATCTCCCCCAGCTGCGACCCGCTGCCTTTGGGCAGCTGCAAAAGCCAGCAGCTCCTGGCGCCGGGGCTGCGGGGACGGCAGAAACCGAAGGGTAGCACCAGCCTGACCCATCCACAGGACCTGCCTGGCTGGGCCGGGCTGAGGACACCCGAGCAAGGGCACTGGGGGCTGCCCAGCCGCTCACTGCTGCTCCACAGCCCTACATGGCCTGGGGGCTGCAGCCATGCAAACCCACCTGAACATGTCAAACAACTGAGAAAACAGCTTGCCCAGGTTGTGGATGCCCTTTGAGGAGCTCAGGCAAGAGGGAAGCAGAGCTGCTTCCCCAGGACCACAAAGGCTGAGCCAGGCTGGATGCTCTCTGTGTGATACCACCCCCAGGAGCAGCTGTCCTGCAGCTCACAGGGTTTTTCCCAAAGCTGGAGACAAAACCTAAAGGATTTTACAGAGCCCAGAAGAGGAGTGGCTCAGCAAGATGTCAACATGGGGGTCCAGATGTACCCGATGCCCCAAGACCCACCCAACAGAGAACAACAAGCTCCTGAAACCTTGCAGATGCTGGAAATGCCTCCGTCACCAAACACCAGGGTGAGCTGAGCAGCCGGCGCAGCGCATGTGGGGCTCCCCACAGCCAGGCCCCAACTCCACCGGATGGGTCTGCACCTGGAAACACCAGCCCAGGGTGCCAGGAGCCCCTGGGGAGCCTCTGCTCTGCTGCAGGGGTAGAAACCCCCTCAGTGACCACACTGCAAGGGGGCAGAAGGCAAGCATACCCCGCAGTTGCCCTGCAAGCAGTGGACACCTCCTCCATCACCCGCAGCCGGCACGCTGGGACGCTGGGGAAGAAAGGAATTTCTGTGTAAATCCCATTTACCGTCGGGTTTCTCACTTCCCCTCCAGCAGACAATCCCAGCCCTCAGTGCAGCGCTGCATGAAGGGGCTGTTTAATATATTTTTGGAAGAAGGGGAAAAAAAAAAAAAACCTCTCTGAAAAGAACCTCTTTCAGCTAATAATGAAGTGAATATTATATTAAGAGTGAAAACATATTCAGGGTAACTTACAGAGGAAGACAGAAAACCTTTTCATAACACCCTGTCCACAAACACAACTGCCAATTAAACCAGCTTCGTTCGCTGGCCTGTGCCAACACAAACGAGGGGGCAGGGGAGCGGAGCACGCCGGAGCCGGCACGTTCGGTGCCTGGTTGGGCTCAGTTGTGGCTGGCGGCACTGAGGGGTTTCTGCTCCACTGATTTTCAGAGACAGCCATCGAAATAAAGAGGTGCAAGTCCTCTGTCTCCATGCCAGGCTGTCCCTGCGCAGGGGCACAGGGTGCCTGGTGGAGGCAAAGGGCTCCAGCACCATGGGGGTTCCTCGGTCCCTGCCCACAGCGACCGGTTCTGTCTCTGCTCTGGTCTACCCCACAGCACTGCCACCAGGAGTGCTCCAGACAGGAGCCCCCACCCACCCAGCCCACGGGACCGGGAGGGTTGCTCCTAGCCGTGGTGAAGGGTGCTGAGCCGATGGGACCAGCCCAGGACCGGCCAGCCCATGCGCCGCATGAAGGTTTAGAGGAGTGGAAGCTGCATCTCCCACCCCAACACCCTGTGCTGGGGGGAGGAGACCTGTGACCAGCCCACAGGGCTGAGCTTAGACCATAACAGGAGGTGCCAAAACCTGGAGCACCTTCCAGCATCCCTGCCCAGGAGTTCCCATTTGCCCTGGACTTCTCGCTCCATCCTTCACTCTGCCATCCCACGTGTTTCGGTTACCTGCCGGGGATCCCAGCCTCCCCTCGCCCTTGGCAGAGCACCCACGACATGGTGGGGACATCATCACCCATCCACGCTCGCCAGGGTTTCTGCATCAGCTGCCACTGGAGGGGACAGGCAGCAACTGGGGTCTCCTTGCCCATGCCGTGTCCCCTGGGGGCTCCCCAGCACGGAGGAGGGCTGCAAGGAGGGGGGCAACAAGCTGGGAGACCTGACCCACAGGTGACACGATACACACTTCACATAGGCTTTATCTTTGTCTTGCAGCCCAAGGAGCTGAATCGATGGGTTGAGGGTACACAACATCTCAGGTTTTGGTTAAACACCCACACCGGGAAAACATCATATGATATCAGATAATATTTTAATTGAGCAAACGCTTGGCAAAGCTCAGGAGCTGCAAGTTGACATTTGATAAACCCAAACTGGAAATACAAGACCACTTTTGAGCTGTAATCAACTTCTGGAACAGTTTCTCCAGGGAACACGCTAAAGATGTTTGTCAAACTATTTAACTGGGGTGGGGGGGAGGGAAGAGGCAGTTTGGCCCAAACTTCTCCAAGGCCCGCGTTTTTTGATTAACAATGAGAACGTGTGGTTCTCTACAGAGATTTGTGTCTGTTTTGCTCAAGGACTTGTATTTCTGTTTTAATGCCAAGTTAAGATCCAAACACATCTTTTATTTTGCCCAGAGGCTGAAAGTTTGTATTTCTTCCTTTAACTAATTGAAAAAAAAAAAAAAAAATCAGGAAGTTAAGCTTCGGCCATTATTTGGTAAAGAAAAATGGGAAAACGCACTTCAGCAGAGTCTAGTTAACCATGGGAAGTCTCTCACACAGCAGTAAACTGGACATCAACGGGGAGAGAGAATCTAGGTCAAATAGGAGCTACCAGCCTGGGCTGGGCAACAGCTTGGGGGAAGGGTGGTTGCTGCTCCTGCAGCATGCAGGGCTGGCAGCAGGCAGCTGACGGCAGGAGCAAACCTTCCAGAGACTGACAAAGCTCCTTACAGTGCACAGCAAGCCACCCCACTGACATATATTTCCACACTTCAGATTCAGATACAGTGCCTTCCACGATGAGCTTTGCGACTACAGTTTGGGGAGCCAAAGGTCCTGCCTTTGCAAGGTCATCGATGGAGGGGGATGCGCCAAGTTCCCACAGGCAGATCCAGCCACCCGTGCTCACCCCCCACCAGAGCACCCAAAGCTCTCAGAGAGATGCCAGCGCGCCCCACTCAGCGATGAGGAAACTCCCTGAAAGGCACAGCTCCCTCCGGCTGGAAAACTCAGCCATGTTGATGTCATCACACCTATCTTATCTAAACAGACAAGCAGCAGAAAATTTTCCACTTCTTGCAGGGAAGAAGCATCAGCTTCTGATCAAAGGAAGTTATTGGAACGATTTGTACAGAAAAAGACCAATATCCAGATTTAAAGCCAATCAGAAAGGAACCCCTGCAGCCCTTGCCTTTGGCAAAGGATCACGAGGGAGGCATTGCCATCTAGTGTCGACCCAGGAAAAGGGACTCGGCCAGCCATCCACCCCCACCTCAGTGCCAGCCCAACGGGGACTGCCGGGGGGACGGTTCCCAGGGAAGAGCAGCACCAAGCAGATGGAACAAGGCCACCCATGACAGGAGGACAGCTGGGAAGCCCTGGCCGCAATGGCTGTGGAAGTGCAAACCCCAAAAGCCAGCCGTTGGCCAAGCGAGAGCCTGGGCTTGTCATCTCTTAATCAGAGCAAGTGGTTGGAGGGGCTGGACCAGCTCAGTTAAAAGTCTCACCAGCAACCTTCCACACAACACTTGCTTTTCAGGTGTGCGTTATCACTGCGTGCTATTCATCATAACAAAGCATCACAGTGTATGATTAAGAGAATTAGTAACATATAACTCCATTTCTTCCTTTCTGATCATCAGGAAGACTCTTTGAGTCTTTTGGGAAAAAGCAGATCTGTAAAGAGGAAAAAAAAAAAACAAAACCCCCAAACCCTAATCACTGAATTGTTCTTAGGGGACAGATGACAAAACCCAAACCCTGCACTCCCCATCCATCTCTCTTCTTTAAATTAAGCAGCACAGCAGGATTTGACCTCCTCTCAGAGACCAAGCCATCCTTTCTCCAAAAGCACAGAGGACCAGAACAAGTAGACAAGCAGCAGGGTCCAGAAGTGTGCTTTCAAGGTACTGCCAACCCAAAGCTTTCTTAACACTTTTTATTTTTTCCCCTCGTCTTTGGGACATCCTACTGCAAGGGCATTTTATTTTAAGACACTGTCAGAGCATGGTGGTAAGGAATCCAAAAGCCATAAAGGCGCTGGCAGAACAAGAACACTTCAGACATTTCTCTCCTGGCAAGGGGCTGCCTTGGATTGCACAGTGACCACAAGCAACCCTCCCTACCCAGCAAGTCAAGAACAAGGCAGTGAATCATGTTTAGAAGACATTATCCATCCTAGTCAAACCCAGGCAGGACAAATACCATGAAAACATCGTTTCATGTTACCTTGTTCCTCCTCCTCCCTGGGTTCTTGCGAGTTTTGTATTTACCTGTCACCATCTCACTAACAAGTATTTGATTTTGCATTTCTTAAATCTCAGCCACACCACAAAGGCGTATGTTCAGCGAGACACAGGGAGTACACGGTGAATTTTGCTCCAAAAGAAAACAGACTTGATTGAAGCTAGAGGAGTCAGCAACATTTGTATGGGATAAAGCTGGTATTCTTAAATAATTTGAAATTTAGTATCAACATTCATAGGTACATTCAACCAAAACAAAGAGCATAACATGCTGTTGCCCAAGAACACAGCCAGCTACACAGCAACACAACAGACCCTATTTCCAAATTCCAGCTCCTTACACTGAAAGGGAGACATTAATCACTCTTGCACAACAAACTGGCACAAGTCCTGCCAGCATTAGTTCTCATGTTGGTTTATTTTCTCAGAACAAAAATATCAAAAACAATTTTTTGAAGAACAATTTGTATAAACAACACAAAACCTCCTGGCATCCTACTCCCATTTACAGATTCCCTAAAAGCAGCACAGAACCTGCAAGAGGTAGAATGTCAGGAAAGAGTTATCTTGGAACAGTGCTGGGGAGAAGAGAGGGAATGCTTTCCTCCTTCCTACAGCAGAACTCAGTTATTCTGGAAAGTCCCAGAATATGGTAAACAAAATCAACTTCAGGAACATAAGGTTGTTTATAAATGCAGAACCTGCATTTCACACTCCCAAAACAAGAGAGTGCTCTTGCGTCTTTTATCAAAACATAGATGTGATGCTGCAATCTCCACGTGCCCTAGAGGGAGGTCTCCTTCCTGTCCAAGAACTGCTCCTTCATCAGCTGGCGAGCTCCTAGGGTAAAGAAATACCAGTCAGCCTCCCACAGGGATCACCTGTACATTTTATTCCATTTCAGCATTAAACAGTCAATTGTTACTAGCACACATCTACAGCGGCCTTGAAAGAAACACCCCGAATTTTGTGGATTAGTACAAGTGAAACAGGCACAGTGAAATCCCCGTGAAATTAATTCAACTTCCTCATACAAGACTTGGAGAAAACTGAGCATTAAGTGACAAGAACTCAAAACTAGCAAGTCTACCTCAGAGAAACTTTGAGAACACCTTTCAGGTCACCACTCTTCCAATATAGGATTACCCATGCTACTCATGCTTTTCTGACACTGTTCTGGGAAACCCAGTGCCTGGATACTTACTCTCTGCCTTTAGGAGAGAGTCCCGCGTCTCCCAGAAGATTCACCATTCTCCTCATCTGAGATTTCTATTGCTTCTCACCATATTTACTTGCTCCCATCTTCCCCCCTTGCCCACACCCTCTTCCTGTGTGTAGGGCACAACCACTGAGAGGCCTGGCCACACCACTGTGACACTGGCAATGGATCACAAAGTCCTCCCAGCATTTTGTTCTTTGTTAGCTCCCCCTGCCCCATCACCCACTTGCAGTCAGGTCCTCACCAGTCTTGGAGTCCTGGACACACAGAGAACGTGACAGATTCTGCACCTAGCAAAGCCACTTTCTCTCATCCGCAGTCCTCACCCATCCCTCCCCCTCTTCCAGGTCACAAGAGCTTCACTAGAAGGAAATCACTACCTAGACACAGGGTCAGTTTTCTCTAGAGATAAATCAGAACTGTTTCTAAGCTGCGATTTCCATGCCCCATCCCTCCTCTGTATTTGAAAAAAGAACCTCTTGGGTTCAGGACTTGCATCATCTTCCTGACCTTCTACAAGGCGACACAGACCTTGCTGCTCAAAGCTTGCCTGCTCCTTCAGTGCCTCTTTCAACCATGCCTCTCCATCTGCAGACAGAACCAGCACCTTCTCTTCCGTGCCCCTTGCAAGCTGTTTGAGGTGGTTTTCAAGATCTGCAGTGGAGCCGTGGTGCGTGCAAGCGTGGAGTACCCTCATGTCCCCAAAGCCATTAAGCACCCGGGATAAAACGCACTCAGCATGCATATTCACACTGCTTTCTGATGTGCCTGTGAACACATTTCAACATCCCGCTGCTCGCAATATTGCTGCAACTGGCACCTCTAAGACACTCACGGAGGAATACTGATACAGAGGGTATTTCTCTTGGTCAGAGCACAGATGGTACTGAAACACTGCTGAAGAGTCAGCCTCGTCCCTTCATCATCCATAGGATGAACAGCATAGGAGAAAAAGAAATTGGAAAAATCCTTGGAAACCTTTCCACAAGATAACCCATTATCTATCTCCTACAGAAGTTTTGAGGATCAAAAGAGGTATGTTCAAAAGATGCCATATCTTCTCTCAGCTCAAGAACACCAGGAGCCCAAACAGATTTGTGATACTCTTTCAGCAGCCATAGCCACTACAGATTGCTCAGCCTGCTCTGCTGCAGTGTCGATCTTTGCAAATGTAAATCAAATTACTAGTAGCAAAATAGGGAAGTCTGCTCCTTAGAGGGTATTGAGTTACAAACTGCTAACCAGAAGGCCAAAAAAAGCAGAAATCTGTGAGGAAAAAAAGATGCTCTACAGACTAAAGGATGAGAAGATAAAGCATCACATGATGCTCAAAATCCACACCTCGTTCATTATATATCCTTCGGAGGCATTACGGGATCACAAGATAATTAGGGCTGCAAGGAACATCAGTAGGTGTTTAGTCCAAACTCCTGCCCAGAGCAGGGTTGGCTATGAGGTCAACCAGATTACTCATCTTCCTCCAACAACCCTGAAGAAACCAGGTTTTAGTTGGTCTGTATGCTCAGAAACACACAAAACCCGTGACTCAAAGGCCACCCTGCCAGAAAACTATGAGTCTGAATTAGGGCAATGTGCCTCTCTCAAGGGCTCCCCACAACTGAATGTTTGGGATAATAAAAGCACAAAACGGTCGAGCAACTTTCAGGATTGCCAGAAACACGAGTAAAGACTTCTAGCCTAGACCAAACTAGGATCCACAGTAACACACCAGAGCGGAGTCACTGTCCTGGTTCACCCAGACTCACAAAATCCCATGTTCCAGTTTCATTTAACAGGCCACCTTTTATTGCCTAACCTTCCAAAACTGGGAGTTGACGAGGTTCATTGTAATGCAAGATATTCACAGTCAGCTTCAGGCTTGCAGCGCTTTCTAATATCTCCCCTGACCGGGAGGGAGAGGGGGAAAGGAAGTTTCTAAAGAAGGAAAACTACTGGAAGACACTTCAGCTGATCTCGTTTCTTTGAAAATGAATCAGAGAAACAAATGCTTAAATAATTTTTCCAGTTCACAGCATAAAGTTCTAGCAACTGGGACACACAAAGAAAGGTTTCTACGGTAGAAGAAAGTCATTATACTTGATGTGCTATAGCATTTGTGTGTTATTAGAGAAAAGCATCTTCACTGCTAAAATGCAACTGACCTCTACTCTGCTACTTGTCAGTCTACTATTATCCCCACACAGCACTTCCTTTCACATGTCCCTGACAGACATAATCACTTGATGTTTCCACTGGCTGTTAGGTGTGGTTTGGGGTGTCTAGCTGTGTATAAAACCTACAGCTAGTGAGACTTCTTGTGCACCATAAAAACAAAGGATCAAACTGTGAGTCTTCTGGTTTCATGGCCGCTATTTGAAGTAGTAATTAAAAAAAAAAAAAAAAAAAATTTCAAACTGAAACCCTAAAGCTATTTCAAGGAGTGTTTGATCAGTTCATCTCGTTCATTTCCACCTAATGGCTACACAATCAAAAGAAAAGTGGAGGGGAAACACATGGCCCTGAAGATGCAGAGAGCTGGATTGTGTTCAAAGTGTTTGCTGCTCCTGCACGTAGGAGAACAGCGCACTCCAACCAGGACCCTGCCCCAATATTTGTTTCCTTCCCTTAACAGCAGGTTGGCAGCAACTCAGCCATGAAAACCAGCAAGGCACACGCTTGCTTTGAAGTTCAGTCAGAAGTATGTTGGTACCAGCTATTTTAATTCATGCTTCAGAAAGACAAGGCAGTCGATCATCAATTTACAGTAAGCAACTTGCCAGGTCACAGGTCATTTATAATCACTGTCACCTTTACTCTGCATTAAAGCCATAATTAACAGTTAATGTTTAACTAAGGCTTCAAAATTTGTTTAAGCTGCTTTCTTGCATAAAGAACTGTTGCTGCCTCTTCCCCAGCTCCCCCTTTCTTGTCTCCCTCTCTAGCAGGCCTGTGGGAAAATGTCATGTGAGCACCAAACAGCAGATAAAATTTTTGTCAAAGCATGAGGAAACTGAAAAGTAAGAAGCATGCACTTAAAGCATAGCTCCTGCCAGTCCAGCCCTCATTACACCCACGCTTTGAAGGAGCAGCACCCAACAGCATTGCACAGAGATAACCCTCAGTGAGAAGAGCACTCCTCCAGAGAAGCAATCGAGTCATCAGCTTCGTGGAGGGCAGCCTGGAAGGCTGGCCTGGCTTTTACACCCCAGAGAAATGTCTTTTAAAGGAGGTTCACAGAAATGTAGCCTCTGCACGTCTGTTATGGGAGACAGAATGCCTTGTTTTCAACACTTCTGTTCAAATCTGAATAGGATTCTCACTGGCCATGGAGAAGAAAGAAAGAAAGTGAAGTTTTGATTTGGTAGTCAAGACATCTTATACCACAACTCCACATGAGCACAATGAAAAAGCAGATGTTACGTGTACACATTTGGAGCAGATCAGCAAAGGAGCTAAAACCTTCTTGAACGGTAGTTGCCCAAGAAGTGCTCTTCACTCAAACCCTGACAAGCCTAAAAGGAACTGCTACGCTGGAATGAGAGCCTGGAGGTGCTACCGGGAGGTGAACAAGCTCCTTCTGAAATGTACCACATGGATGTCACGAGAGGTTACTGACAGACTGCAGCTCTCTTGAATGACAAGAAGAAAGCCCAGCAGCAGCTAGGGTGCCATCAGCTAGCCGATAACAAGATGTACCAGGCAATCCAACCTGATATGAGGAGAAGAAACAGCTATTTACAATGCCAGGCTATCATGGTTTTATCTGGACACATTTATTAGACAGAACACAATGTATTGCTATCTCAGGGAGCCTGTCCCTGAGCATGCAACCTGCCTTTAGAAAACTACCTAATTAGGGTACCACTTATCTGCTATCTACAGAAGTGGTTCTGCCGTCAGCCATACCCTCCTTTCTCTCTAACATGTTGTTTGGGGATGTCCAGCTGCTAGTGCTTCAAGTGGACTCAATTTTATGGCCAAGATAGCTGTGAAGCCTATCTTCAGAGCGCAGCAGCATACAAGCACACAGACACTCAGAGACTTCTCGTGTCTGAAGCCTTCAGCAGGCTCTGACTACCCCATCAGAGGTGCACCAGATGTCCAAATCCACAGATGAAGGTGCAAGGAGCAGATGTGCCCCATTTATATAGCCAAGCTATATGAACTTCCATTGCCATCTGAAGATCTGCACTTCCATGCTTTTTTTCTCAGGATGGTTGTTATTTTTTTTCTTTGCATGTCAATTTGTCATGATCCTCAGCTCTGCAAAGGATCCGCAGTGAGTTTCAAACAGTGTCTATATGCTAGACAGACAGCTCAGTGGCAGGATGAATTCTCCAGAGATCTCTAGCAAGCCTCGACTCCAAAGACCCTGAATGCTGATGACATGCACTAGCATCCTGAACCTGAGGTGATGGAAGAAGCATCTGTCAAGTCTGCTCAGATCTGTGATAGGACAAGGATACCTAAAGCAACAAGGAAAAAACACAAAGCAGAGTTCTTTCCCAGGTATGTCTAAAAAAAAAAGTCTGTTAAAACAGCACCCAGAAAAAGCAACAAAAGAACTTGTTCAGAGAGCAAGAGGTGTCACAAGAGGGACAATTCTGGGAAGGTAAGAGAA